AAGAGTTATAGCTTGCTTGGTGCTACCTGGAGAGCGACCGCTCCTCTGCACTCCCACTGAATGGCAAGAGACAGCAAATGAATGCAATGGAGGCATAGCTCATAAGGGTTAAAATGCCTCCTATCAGTTCATCCAGAAGCCCGGAGACTCCAGAAAGACAAAGCAAAGAGCAGTGGCTACATGCCCTTTAATAAGCACTATTCCTAGTGACTTAGAGGCACGAGACATCGTGATAAAGGGGATGATGCATGCTCCGCTCTGCAGTGCGAGGCAGGGAATGATTTCATCGGTTCAGTGCAAATGACCTGAGCGTCCATCTGGTCTTGGAAACTCCCGGGTTATTCGTGCCAAGCCAAACAGAGTCAGATCGCTGCCCTCTCCCACCCCCGGCCCGGTGCGATAACTTTGCATCAGTGCAATATGAATCAGTTAACGCTGGCAAGCGGTCACGGCTTGGCATGAGCTGCAGTCAGGCCCAGCTCCGTCCTGGGAGGTAGGAAGCTCGTTGTCACCTTTCGGGGTACTCTGCTTACTGTCTAGAGGGGACATCCCCTGCTTTTTAATCACCTGCACTTCCCTGGGATGATGCCAAGGACTCAATTCGGTCGCTTTGCATTGCTTCAGTCGTCATTTCTTGTTTCACTTTTCTCCTTCTTTTTCGCTCTTTGGAAGAGGCAGCAGAAAAAAAACAAGCTCTTTTTAGAGGCCTGAGTATCTCGAGCACCTGGCAGCTCTGCAAGCGGAGAGCCCTGTGTTTATCCTCACAACAGACCCAGCCCAATGCAGTTACAGCCTCTGCTTTCTCCCCCTCACCTGAGTCAAATCAGCCTCAGCCTTGAGCTGAGATGATCCCGTCCTAGGGGATAGGATGGGATGGGAAGTCTCTGTCCTTCCCCCTCCTCCCCGCTTCTATCCTCAGCCACTTTTGCAACAGCTGGTCTCTGGTGCAGCTGCCTCTGTGCTGGTCCACCAAGCCTAAGGCTGCAAACTTGGATCCAAGAACAGAGCACAAGCCTGTGTGTGCCGTTCATCGGGTGCAATACTGTTTTGGACTTCACGGGGGGCTGCGATAGCCATGGCCCGGGCGGTCTGGTCCAGTCCAGTGTGACTGTAGCATACTGGTGTGGATGGGGGGCTGTTGAAGGCTCAACTCACCAAGCCACTTGCACGGACCCAGAGGAACAGACTTCCAGCCTGCAGCTTCCTCTGAGCAAAGTTTATTTTCTACCTATGGGGGACTTTTCCCCATCTTTAATTTTCTCTGAGCCTGATGAAGGACGTGTGAGCCTGAAAGCTTGCAGAAAAAGATCTGTTTTTTTGTGTGCAAATTTTTAGGTGGTCTAATAGAAGGTATCATCTCTGAACCAAGAGGTCTTGAGTTTTGCATTTCTTTGTGTCTCACACCAACACAACTACCAAATACATCCCTTTTTCCTCTAACTTTCCTGAAGCTGGCATCAGGAAGCAAATTAGACTTCTGCTCACCCGGCTAGGGATTTGATTCTGCCTATGCAAAGCAGGTTGAATTTAACGCACCTGCTTGACTTTGCTAGCTTTACATATGCAGCCGGGGCCCAGTTCAACCCAGTTAAGCAGGACAAAGCTCCAAGACCACAGGTAATCAAGAAAGGAGACAAAATTATATCAGTCACTGCAAAGACCCTTCCCTAGTTTCATAGTTGTTAGGGGCTGGAAGCTGGAAGGGACCTTTCACGTCATTGGGGCCAGCCTCCTGCACTTGGTCCCACTGTTGCAATTAATAAAACGCTTGGCACTATTTTCTTTAAACTTTTAATACAATGTATATTTATTGCAAACAATAATATCCAAAAAAAAAAAAAAAAAGGTAAGTTTCACAAAAGAGAACAAAGGGTCTGGCAAACAAAACTTACCTAAAGACAAAATATGATTTAAAATGACAGGTCTTTTAAGTTACAGAAATACTTTAAAAAGATCTGCTTTTATACAGAAATAGAGAGATGCCATATCATAAGAGTGCTTTAAGATTTTTTTTTCTTCTACTGAATCCCTAAAAAATGAAACAAAAACCAACCTGTTAACAAATATATCATTTTTTTAAATAAAAAAAAGTTTGCTGTCTTTTTTAAAAAGCAATCCTTTAACTGTTCAGCCACAGCGTCACCAATGTCAAATCTTCTCCCCACCTCAAAACAGCATCATCGAGGGGTGGGAGGCTAGAGAGTAAGATGATACACACATGCACATGTTTTGCCATTGGTGTCTTGTGTCTCATATATACACAAGCTTGTGTGTCCCGAAGAGCTGAGGCAGAAAACAAGGCAAATGATTCAGTGATACACTACATTTGCAATCTTTAGTTTGTACAAAAAAAAAAAAAAAAAGAACAAAAAAATTCCAGTTTATCCTTAAACAAAAGAAAAAAAACCAAAAGGAAGAGGACACGTTGTACAAACCTAGGACACAGATTCCAAAGGATAATAACAATAATAATAATAATAATAATAAAAAGAATTAAACAGATAAATAAAGAACGGGTTACGGTTTAGACCATAATTTAATAGGAGCCGTACCCTCCGCATAAGGTTCCAACAAATCTGAATCGGTTTTTAAAGGAGTTTGAACTGGAAGGGAGGACAATCTCGATGAAAAGAAAAGGCTTTTCTTGCAAAATAAATAATCTAAAAGGTGTCAGATGTCTCCAATGGGCTCGAAGAGCCTGAGCAAAGACCGCGTGAGACCAAGAGGCGGTGTGTACAAGCGCTGGATCAGGCCCTGACTGTTTGCACTCCAGGAACTTGGAAGGACCGGGAAGGCGATCCTCGGCTCCCAGCATCTGCCTCGCACATGGTGTCCCTATGCGGGAAGCAGAGGAGCTTTAGGGGGGCAGGGGACTGGCATCATCATCTGCTGCTGATCGTTGGTCAAAGTGTCAGACCTTAGCGTCTCCCCAGAAATCAGAGCTGCCTCCCTTCTCAGCCTGGTCTTTGTCCCAAAAGTGGGAGACTTATAACGATCGTGCAGGGACTTGGGGTGGGGGGCAACTATCCCAGGGCGGCTTTTAAGGCTTTTCAACAGCATTGCTTTAAGGCTAAAGGTCTTTAAAATCCAAAGTGAACACCTTCTCCTCCTGGATGCAATCTTTCCTTCTTAGTTAGAAAAATAAAGCCTGTGTTATTTATTTTTTAACCCCGATGCAACCTCACCTGGCATCTCCCAGCTGGCACGGCTGACTATAGCTAAGCCCGATGGTGATCACTTAACAGAGCTTTTTTTGTTCTGAGTTAACGCACACCATTTTATTTTCTTTTTATTCTTTTTTTTTTTTGCTTGTTTTTTAAAGAAAAAAGATGCTTATCTATACAAAAATACCTCTGACTGCCAGAAAAGCTAGGACTGTTCCACTAAGTGTCATTTTAGCTGTTGGAAAAATAAGAGCATTTAAAAAAAAATCTCTAAAAAATATGTATAAATCCCCTCAAATCGGTAACGAATCATACACAGTACATACTAAAAAATATTTAAAATAGAGAATATTCCTCACAGAGGACTCTGGGTTGTTTGTTTGCTTTTTTTTTTTTTTTTTTTTCATTTTTCTTTTCTTTTAATTACTGCTAAAAATCATTACAAAAGTCCAAACACAGGCAGATGAGTCGGCGGGGTGGAAATCTCATCTGTTTGCTCTCACCCTGGATGCAAGGTGAAAAGTCCAGTCCTTGGAAGGTCTGTACCAAGTTTTGCTGGTTCTCAGCAGAGTGGTCTGGCCACCTCCTGAAGGATGCTGTAGTGCAGAAGGACCCTTGTGTTTTCTTTTCTTTCTTTTCTTTCTCTCTCCCATCATCTTTAAGCTCGAGTGTCTCTTTCTTTTTTTTCTTGGTTTAAAGAGGGAAAGTCTGCGGAAGTTTTTTGCTTTTTTTGTCTGTAGGTTGTTCTTTGCCTCTATGGCCTAGTGAGCTGTGTGTAGACCGGCTGTTCCCAGTGCTGTGGGCTGTGGGTCTGGGGGATGGAGGGGACCCCAGAAGTGTCTGCAATGGGGGTGTACATCGGCCTCTGGGTGGGGTTCATGTAGGTGAAGGTGGAGTAGAGGCTGGTGCTCTGGCCGGCAGCGTGGCTGTAGTAGGAGTTGGAGCTCTGGTGGTCTGTGTAGTCGTACTGTGAGCGGGTGATGGTCGGGTAGGACGAACTGTAGTGCTGGAGGTTGAAGGAGCTGTAGTTGATCTGCTGCGGCGAATGCTGCTGCTGCTCGCTGTAATGGCTGGGGCTCAGCTGCTCCGTCTTGATGTGCGGCCGCTGCTGGGACTGCCCTTGCTCGCCGCTCAGGGGGGTCATCGTGTGCGCCGCTTGGGGCTGAGCCTGCGGCGGCGGTTGCGGCGGCTGCGGCTGCTGCGGTGGCTGCTGCTTGGACATCCACACGTGCCCGGCCCCGGTCGGGGTGGCGGCGGTGCTGCTGATCCCGTAGCTGCCAGTGTAGGTCACCTGGCCAGGCTGCCCGTGAGTGGCTGGGACTCCAGGGTGCCCATTCGGTGGGAGGTACTGGTCGAACTCGTTGACGTCGAAGGTCTCGATGTTGGAGATGACGTCGCTGCTGAGCTCCCCGATGTCTACGTCTCGAAAGTCAATGTGGGGCGGCTGCCGCCCTCCCTCTTGCAGGGGGCGTCCTTCTCGCTTCAGGTCTTGCTTGCCAGGCTGGACGTCTGTTTTGGGGGTCGTGGGTGGTGTCGGGGGGCCCTGGGACTGCCCTGGAAAAGGAAAGAGAGCGCAAGCCTCGGTGAGATGGCTGCCCTTCTGTATTGGCCCCTAGTCGCCCCGTATCTGGGATGCTGATGCGTCTTGCAAGCGAGCTAACACCAGCTGGTTTTATAACCGGGAGGTGTTGTATAACACTGATAACTCAGTTAATGCTTAACTCCTGATCTTTGGGGCCCGACAGATAATAACGCCTTGCTTGTGAAGGCAGTTGCATAGGGTAACACAAACATTTCCAGGTGTTGGGTATATAAATGCGATCGATAGCTGTGTCAATAGATCTCGGGGCGGGGGGGGAAGGAGTTACAGAGCTTTTCTGACCACTTGCAAAGTGGAGAAATGTGGGTTTTTTGAAAACAAAAGTGTGGATTGAAATGCCTGGAAGCCTGTTTCAATTCTCTTTTTAAGGCCTTGAGTAGGACAGCGTGCATGTGTTACATGGAAAAGGCAGCGGATGTGGTTTTCTCTGTGGGGCGCGTGTGTAAAAGTGCATTCACCTGTCTCTTGCTGAATCTGGTGAGTGTTTCTCTACAGACAGGTTGCATTTTAAGCCTGGTTACCAATGCAGACTTCATCTAGAGACACGCACCGTGCCAGCGCAGTCTGCAAGGACACGTGCATCTCCCTCTGGCTTCCTGACTGTGAGCATGCATCCCCCCTCCCCATCCCACCTGGGGAAGGCTGCAGAAGAGGCCCCGTATTTACCAGAGTGCTCCCCGGGGGAGTGCACCTCGCTCATGCTGGAAGAGGACTGCGGGGAGTCCGCCTGCAGGGCCTTGAAGATGGCATTGGGGGAGATGTGGGTTTGCTCCGAGCCCTCCTCCTGCTCCGACTGCCCGTTCTTCACCGACTTTCTCCTCCGGGGCTGGTACTTGTAGTCAGGGTGGTCCTTCTTGTGCTGCACCCGCAGCCGCTCGGCTTCCTCCACGAACGGGCGCTTCTCGCTTTCGTTCAGCAGCCTGGGCGAGAGCAGGGCAGTCGCAGGTTAGCTACCTCTCCAGCGTGGCACGGTGCTTACGGCACAGGGGCCCTCCAGCCTTCGCTCCCCCCGCGCACGCCCACGGACCTGTGTCAGCTCGCTGGGGCCCAGCTGGCTGCTGCTCCTCTCCCCAGCTGGGTGGTTTGCAACCCAACCCTCACCGCTGCACGAGTGACATCCTGGGAGCTTCTCCCTTCCCCTCCCAGCTCAGCACCTCTCCTCTTACCTCTAATCTCACTCTTTCGGGGGTACCCCTCCACTTCCCCCCTCTCCGACACCTGCTTCCCCACATTTTGGTGGCCAAACAAGACATAACAAAACTCCTGCCCTGTTTTTTTTCCCCCGTAGGTTTGGTCCGAGGTGCTTCCCCTTGGACGAGAAGTGCACACACACACACACACACACACACACACACACGGAGTCAATAGGAGATTAGATGACTAACCCCCTGGATGCCTCTGGGCACCGCCTCATGCAGTCCACATTTGCTCCGAAACTTTCCCCTTTTGCTTCAAACTCCTTATTTTTTTCCCCTGCAGTCACACACCGCGGGGCTCAGCCAGGTGACTCACTGGAGCTCTGCTTTCCCTCCCTGCTTGGTTTGAAAGGCTGGAGGAATTAAGCCATGCACGGCCGCTCTCCAGAGCCACACGCCCACCCAGGGGCTTGGCGGGGCATTGCCAGCTCTCCCTCCGCACCCCTCCCTGTTCCCACCCCTCCTGCCACAATCAACCCAGGCAAATCTGATGCAATCTAGAAGACCCCCCCGGGTCCTCCTGGAGCCCCAAACTCCCTTGTGTGGCTGGGCCTCTCATCCCCTGCAAGCTGCGGTGGGGGTCTCTACCCCCTGAACGTCTCCCATTGCATCTAGGGAGATTGCAGTCTCCCCCCTTGCAATCTCCCATTGCATCTCTACCCCCTGAACATCTCCCAAGGCCCCTAATTCACCTTGCAGGGGAAGAGGGGGTAACTCTGAAGCCAGCCTTCCATTGCATTGGGAAAATGAATGCATGCAAGAGCCGAAAGCTGGGAGAGGCAACAGGTCCCTGCTTTGCCTTCGCGCTCTTCCCTGCATGCTTTCCCCTTGATAAATAAGTTTGCCAACGCGCACACAGCACCCACACATATCCTAAAGCAAAAGTTTAGGGTCCGACACCATCATGCCCCCGCCGTTGGCCCCCAACTCACCTCCAGAGCTTGCCCAGGGTTTTGCTCAGCTCGGCGTTGTGCAGATGGGGGTACTGGTCAGCCAGCTTTCTCCGGGCCGCCTGAGCCCACACCATGAAGGCATTCATGGGTCTCTTCACGTGCGGCTTGTTCTTACTGGATCCGTTCACCCGGACCGGCATGGGGACCAGGGTCCAGTCGTAGCCCTTGAGGACCTGGCTGACAGCCTCCCTGATGCAAACGGGGAACTTGTCCTCGTCGCTGTCTTTCTTGAGGTCCGGGTCCCCCTTGGGGAAGGTGTTTTCTTGGGGCCGGGTGTTCTCCGTGTCCGATCCGGAGCCAGAGGGGCAGGGAGAGCCTGCAGAGTCATCCGACATAGTGGGGCTGGGGGCGCCAGAGATGCATTTCTCCTGCTCTTCTGTCATTTTCATGAAGGGGTCTAGGAGATTCATGCGAGAAGGTGGCAGAGTGGGGGCAGGATGAAAATCAAAGGGTGGGGAGAGGGGAGGGGGGAGGCGGGACGACAAAATAGTAGTAATAATAAGAGGCAAAGTCTTTGCAAACCAGCGGGAAGCCTGCTGGGGCTGGGATGGGGGAGAAAGGAGGGAGAAAGCGAGGCAGAGCTGGAGAGGAGGGGGGCAGGAAGGGGAAAAAGTTTGCAAGAGTTGGATTTGTTAACGGCAGCTCACAGGAGGAGGAGAAGAGACCACCGAGATGGGTCACAGGCGCCTGCAAAGTTGCAATCTGCTCTCAGGAACGTGCTCCAGCCCAGCTCTGGTGCTGCTGTGGGTAGTCAAAGTGGGGTGGGGGGGGAGGAAAAAAAATGGGGTGGTTTTTTCCCCCCCTTTCTCTCTCTGCCTCTCAGAAGAAGAATTACAAAAAGAAAACGAATAAAAAAAAAAAATAAAAAAAGAGAAAAAGAATCCTTAGTTTTGGCAAGTTTGAGGCTCCCGGTTGCACCCAGTCGGTTTCCAACCCAAATCTCCAACTCTCTCTGTGTCTCTTTAATAAATAGCCTCCTCTGCTAGTTCACCTTAGAAACTTTCCACCAATGACAGCCCTGCCCTTGGGGGCTGGCAAAGAGAGGATTGGCTGCAAGTTTTTGTAGGGTGGGGAGAGCTGAGCCCAGAGCTGAGAGCAGGGGAGGAAAAAAAACACTGCAAAGTTGCAGTGCCTGAGTTGACTCTTTGTGCCGCAGACTTTTGTGATACCTTTCCAAAGCGCCTTTCTTTTTGCTTTCTGTGGGGCTAGGTAGGTTGGGGTTGGTTGGACGCGATGGCTGCAGCGCTAGAAAAGCAACTTCAGGGGTACAAAAACACGGCATTGCCCAGGCTGCGCGCTGCTGATCTGCCCTGTTCCCTTGGCATGGCAAGGAGCAGAGCCGTTCTCCTTAGACGTAAATGGTGTTGCTCAGTTGTGCCTCCGGCCTTATTCTCCATGTCAGCCGGGAGGGGTGTTACGCTCTCACTCCTTCACTTTAAACCAACCTGGCTCCAAGGTGCGATGCCCGCCGGGTGCATGGTCCCTTGTGCCAGGTGGGGTTCGCCCAGCTGCGAGCGGAGGTTGGCAAAGTTTTGCAGCAGCTCTGTGCTGGGCAAGGTCGTTCAGGGGCAGGTCGTCTGCTTTGGGGCTGTCGTTTTAAACTCCTGCGTGGAGTTGGTGGCTTTAAATTCAGGGATATAAACCCTACCGAGCAAAAGGGGTTTCCCTCTTATGTTACTCTGACTTCATACAACTTTCTCTTTCCTCCCTGTAAGGAGCGGGTGTGCAACTTGTTCTCCGGCTTGATGATTTAAACAGTCTGTTTTGCACTAAGGAGTACTAGGGGGAAAATGCTATTTAGGGACACACAGATGGGCTTTCAGGTAGCAAGGATGGGGACGCTGTGGATTGCCTTGCTAACGTGAACAGAGAAGGGAATACCCGGTCCTGACTCTGCCTAGACCACCTCTGCAAAATCATGTCATAAAACATGACATTTATTAGCATGTCCCGGTATTTCAACCTAGATTTTCTCTCTCTTTCGCACCCCCCCCGGGAATAACTTGCGTTCTGCCAACTACAAATCTTTGCTTCTCTTTGAACGTGGAAGCCCGATGCAATTTGATTTCCCCTACAGCAAATGCTGAGGTTTTCTCCAAAAAAAAAAGTTTCGAATGCAGCTCTGATGGCTGGAGGGTTTCGGGGGCAGGTTGCTCTTGAACATACTTGTGTCTTAAGGGGTGAGCCCGCTTGCAGGGCATCTGGTGGGGGTTTCTGCCTACAGCTGGCACTCCTGACACGGACATAGCGAGGTTGCTGCTCGTGAGCTGGAGAGAATCAGAGCCCACCCACGAGAGAGAAGGGGACAATGACAGCAAGAGACTGGCATCATTTATTCTCATGCTAAGCCCGTGCTGATGCCTCATCCTTGTATCCCCACGCGCACATCCCTACCTTGTCTCAACCCCAGACCCTCTGCCGTTTACCTGGGCAATAGCAAATGCAACCCTCGAGGTGCTGGGATGCCACTTCTGCCCGGGAACCCCTGGCATCAGCAGCTGGCACGGTGCTCGGGCCCAGGCGGGCATCACCCAACGGGTCTTGCTTTGCTCTCGGCGCCTTTTCTGCACCTCATTTCGTCCTCCTGCTGCTTCTTGGGAATTTTTACCTTTGTAAACACCTTTCTTTTTTTCCCAGCGCCCGAGCGAAATTCTCCTTTTCGTACCGAGAGGGCGCCAAAAGCCCAGAAACTGACCCCAAACTTTTTGCTCCGGCAGCTCCCAAAGGGTTGGATGGATGGGGATGGGAGGGGGGGGGAGGATGAGTCTTCTTGCTGAACTGGGCTCATTTCTGATTGATCAGACTTGGAATTGTGATCTGCCTTATTTTATTTTATTTTTTACAGGATTCAGCAGTAAACGTTGCTTAGCAAACCCTGCGGGGCAGCTGATCCAAAGAGCTTTCCACCCCAGTGATCAGTGAACCTGACCAGCAAGGTATCAGACCAACATAACATTGGGCAAACACCTCTGTATAGTCACTTCTTTACCTTGGGGTGGGGGGAAATCTGCCTATCGAGTTAGTGGAGTGCATCTCCCCTTCTCCCCTTGCCTTGCACCCTTTTGTGTCCCTGCCTTGACGTTATATATTGTTTCAAGAGTTGTCTTCTTTCTAAAAGCCTTTGGGGAAAGCTCAGGAATGAAATGTGCCATAACTGAGCACTTTTAAACAGCATAATTATTTCAAGACTACCGTATTTTGCCGTGCCGCAGGTTTCTCGTGTCTCTGATTGATCACATTGTCATTTGCTTTGAGAATTGAACAATGGCACGTGTCATCCCTGAGAGCTAGGCTTAATTCGGTCTATACATCCAGTGCCCGTCTATATATCCAGTGCACGGGAATTTTTCTGCGTGTGGCTGTGCCTCTGCGTTAGGGAGTTTTATGCGATGCTTAGAAAGGTTGAGATCGCTTTCCAGGGCAATGGCAGGGACTTTATTTTATAGTTTGCTGCTGTACAGACTGAAGTTGTACAAGGAAGATTTCTGAAATAGTTGCCAAGCTGCTTAAGCTTCTCGTCCAAAAACTCAAACACAAGAAAGACAAAAAAAAATATTTCAAGGGCCCCCTCCCCCAAATTTCCCCTTTCACTTGGTAGTGAAATATTTTAGCATCTGCCTTCCTAATTGCAATCTGCTTTTTCATACAGCCTGTGGATCAAGTGTCACCGATGAAAACAAAGTTATCTCCATTCAGAATAGACCCTATCTTGTGGTAAGGAAGGATTAGAAAGAAAAATTAAGGGCTAAAGATGAGAAATGAATTGGAGCAAATGCCTGTGCTTCAGCTTTGCTCTCAGTCCTCCCCCCACCTCACCCGCACACAGTTTCTCATCTATTCACCTCTGCTGCTGCCAAAGAAGAAAGACAGATTTTTTTTGTGTGTGCAATTTTCCTTATAAAATACACAGTGCCTAATTCTGAATTCAATTCAAGCATTGCTGCTATTTCCCCCCCCCCCAAGTACTTTATTGAGACTGCTTCAGTTCACAGCCTTTGTCCTGTTCAACTGCATTGTCATGCTTGACGATAGTACGTGTGCGGGAACACATTATACTTTTCAAATCTGCATTTAATTTTGTGTTATTGAATTGGAAATCTCACTTGCAAAAAAAAAAGGGCATAAGGGGAAGGAGTTCTGAATCAACCCATTTCTAGAAGGAAATCTCCCTGCTAGACCCTTTCTGTCTCTGCTATCTTTCTCTCAGAGTTTTTCCTTGCAAATCTTTGGAAAGTAGTTATCTTTGGGTGAGTGAAAAGGTAAGTGTATGTCTTATTAGCAGAGTCTTTGTCATATAACGATAGCGGGGGGGAGTCAGAGCCAAGATTTTGTTGCAAAGGATTTTGCTTGTCTTATGTGTGTCTGCAACAAGAAAGCACGTTTTCTTGGAAATATTGGCTCTGCAAAATATTTAGCAGAGAGCAAAAAAAAAAAGGGAGACAGTGAGATTTGCATCAACAAAAAGTTCTGCCGTAGCTAACATTTAGGGGGACATTTTTTCCCTTACCCATTTACGACGGTTTTTGAACTATTATTATTATTTTTTTTACAGATATATAATTTGCCATGGGGACATCAAAGCAAAATCAGCCAATAGGTTGTTCTCATGTTAGCTGAACTGCCCTAGCCAAATGCTGGACAAAGATACCTGGGGGGAGAGAGAAAAGAAGGTGACAAGAGATTGTTCCCTGGCGATACTGCTGATTGGCAGAGATAAACACAAATAACTTGGGAGGATAATTGAGTTAATGAAAAATGTTATAATGAGAAGAGTTTTCATTCTGAAAGTCCATCTGGTGAAAGGATTCTGCCTTTTCATGACGAGAGACTCTCTCGCAACAAAAGACGGTGGCTTAACAAGTTTGAACAGCAAACAGGAGGCAGATGCAAAGTAGCTTTCCTTGTTATGCCCTCCTGCAAGTTTTTAGTTTGTGCCTCTTTTTTTCTATTAAATAAATCCTCTTCTACAGAATAGGTGCAAAAGTGGGCAGCCAAGTTCACTTTTTAAGTTGACAATTTCTCTTCTCGTCATCTTAACTTGCAGCAGGATGCTAGTTTTGTTTTCAGAAGTCGCATGATTTTACTATCGGTCTCCGGTCCGTGGTGCAGGCAGGCTCTTTAACCAGAAGAGAGTGAATTACATTTCTCATTTCGTCCCCCCTCTTCTTTGTGCTCATTCAGATCGTGTCGCTGCTGCCCAAAACGACAGCTCGCAGGCACTGAGCAGCGAGAAAGAGAGGCAGGCGGTTTCCTAGTGAGGGGGATCCTATCCATACGGGACGTTCAGAAGGATTTGTCTTTCAAACCCTACCGATATTTGCTGTGGCCATATTGACACGCATCAGATGTGTTTGCTGAGAGCTGGCTGCTGTTTCTGCATTGAAGTCAGTCGTGTTTTTATGAAGCTGTGCACGTGTGTGTGTGTGTGTGTGTGTGTGTGTGTGTGTGCGTGTGGAGGGGAGAGGACAACCCCCCCCTCGGGTGTTTTCCTTGAAATTTGAACAATGTCCATTTGTCATTTCTAAAGTCCTCATTCTCCCTTGCACTGCCTGATCCCCTCCTTGTCACGCTGCAAACCGCTCGTTTGCATCATTTCAGGTTGTGATGTCACCCGCGCCGCCTTGTGACCTCATCGCTGGATCCAAAGAGGCTCTTCAGTCGAACAAAAAGTCCTTGCTTCATAGGACAGGAAAGCCAGGGAAATGCTGCCTGGCTGTGTTGGTGCTGGGAGAAGTTTCCTCCTTTTCAAGTTTGCAATGGCTAATATTCATCTGTTGGGGCAGGGGCCAAAGCAGAGAGAATAGGCCTGTATTGCAACCCTTTTAAACATAAACCCCAAGAAAGTAATGTGAAAAAAACAACCCTCTCTCATCATGCTAGGAAGAGCAGTTATTATATTGATACAGGGCATAAAAGCCCATGCCCCTAACATCGTACCTCCTCGATTCCCC